AAAGTGAATAAGAATGGAAAAATAAATAAGTAAATAATATGGATGGGCAGCGATAAATTGAATAAAATGAAATTCATCCATTGGCGAGTGACTGTACCTTATTTTTGATATTTCACTTAGAAAAAAATTTACTCGAATAACTAGCTGAGAATAAATAATTTACTAAAACAATGACTATTCATTAAGTTTTCTGTATAAATTAAATCAATTCGTTTTTCGTGATAATCATATAGATGACGCTAGATGTCACGCCTATTCGTTGAGGAATGGGTATATATCAAATACTTTTGAATATGAGTGAAGTATTTTTAGGAATGATGACAGGGCAGTTGTTATCAGTCAAGATAGTGCGAGGATAAGAAATAGTGCAACCAATTTCATCCAGAATCTTTTTTGGAAGAAAGTCGATTGCAATTGCACAAATGATCACTGTTTTCGTTCGAATGAAATAAGAAACTTGATATTTTAAATCTTTTTGATACCAGAAGAACGTCATACTGTTTTCCATTTAGAATGTTTTCGGGGAATGACGCTACCATCATTGCAAACACATTACACAGATTAGTCTATGAAATTAGTACCAAGAAAATTAGTTTCGAAAGGCTTTAATTTTTCACTATGTGTTTTATTTGCAAAAGACCGAATCTGATAAACGATTCCATTAATAAAAGTCCATGTCAGTAATCTCTTTATAAGAGTCTATGTTTTTATATATTGCAAATCATTCCTTCCTACAACAGAACTATGTTGGCCGTTGGTATTACGATTGTGCTTGCTGCTTGTGCAGCTGCAGCTAACGGAATAACGCTAGAGCATATCGAGAACGGTAAGATCTGTAGCGCATGGCAATACATGTCTGGCTCGGAAATTCAAGTTGAAACAACGAAATGTGCTAGCAGTGTGGGTTACGAATTGGATGTATATAACAGTGTGTACATCATTCGTTTTTGTTGCACATATAATGGCGGGACGACAGCACCCATTGGACCAGTACCTGCTGGCTGTGGCCGCCAAGCTGTTGCTCCATTACAATCCCGTATTGTCGGTGGACAAGAAGCAAAGCCACATTCATGGCCTTGGCTTGTTTCTCTTCAATATCGTGGCAATCATTTCTGTGGTGGCACTTTGATAGTAAATCATACAAAAGAATCGAAACCCGTTTGCATAGTATGAGTCGATTCTAGGATGCATATCACGTCTTGACTGCTGCTCACTGTCTTCAAGATCAATCATGGTTTAATTCAGATTTAACTGTTGTAGCTGGTCTTCATGCACGAAGCAAAACGGATGCAGCTGGAGTACAACGCAGACAAATTTCTAAACTTGTCAATCACCCTGCTTACAGTGATGTGACAAACCAAAATGATATTGCCATCATACGTTTAGCTTCGCCTGTGACACTCAATAGTTATGTTAACGTTGCATGTCTTTCCGGAAAGCAACCTGCTGTCAATGATAATGTTGTGATTGGTATGTAGATTTGAACTTTGTAGAGAGTTTCATCCCATTCTCTTTCAGCTGGTTGGGGCACAACAAGATACGAAGGTGTGTCACCTGACTCTCTTCGTCAAGCCAGTATTGTTATTATGGATGTGTGCAAACATGTCTATCCATATTATGATACAAATAAGCAACTATGTGCTGGTAATTATCAATATAGCCGAGACTCCTGTCAAGGAGATTCGGGCGGTCCACTCATGTCGGAAGCGAATGGTCAATGGACTGTCAGCGGTGTGGTCAGTTTCGGTGACGAATGTGCTAAAGTGAATAAACCAGGTGTATATGCTCGTGTTAGCTATTATCTTCCATGGATTCAAAATAGCATTTCAGCTCTATCAGGAAAATAAAGTGACCTAAACTTACTAACATAAACGTCCATTCTACTCTTTAAAACGATGACATACTTATGACACTTTGTTTTTCTTTTGTTCTATTTGCAAAAGCTCGAAAAAAACGAAAAGAACATTAAAGAACGAAATACGAAAAAGTCAATTGACATGTAACTTGTTGAATTAATCAAATAAGTTACAGAATTCATCGAACGAGATTCTACCATCTCCGCTTGTATCTAACGATTTAACCATTGCTTCGACATCACTTCGACTTAAATGTCGACCCATACGAGATAGAATATCCGATAATTCCTTTGTGGATATGTATCCATTTCCATCGGCATCGAATTTTTTAAATGCACTCATTAGTTCTTGTTTAGAATACTTTTTAAAGAACGAACCAGCCATGACTTTTTTAAATTCGTCAAAATCAATTTCTCCACTTCCATCTGCATCCATTTGTGCCATTAACTGAGATAATTCCTTCTCGTTTGCTTTGATGTTTAACGCGTGCAATACTTTTTTCAGCTCATTTCTCGAAATTCTTCCTGAACGATCTAAATATTTCGAAATTCAAACTTTTATTCACTCTTCTGACATCTCACAACAATACATACCACTATCAAAGAGATCAAAAGCGTCGTGCAATTCTCGTTCTTGGCTTGCTGTAAGTTTAGTCATGATATAATATCTAGAATAAGATTTTTTCTTCTTCAAATAACTCTGTTAAAGAATTTCTTCTCTTGTCGTCATTTTTTTTTGTTTGTGTCATTTGTTGACACAGAGAGAAAGTTTGATCTTCCTTCTCGTCGATAATAACGACGAGAAAAAAAGAACGGAAAACTGAATTCCTACCGTTTATATCAGACTAGAAGAAAAAGAAAACGTGAATAGGTTTTTGTAACCGTAACCAAAGTAATTCTTCGGAACATGCACTTTTTTCTCTAAAAACAATTTTTCTCAGGGTTAAAATACTCTACTTATAAAAACAACTAAATTTTCGCTGATAAGCAGATTACGAAACCAATCAAGGGCTTGTCAATCTATAAAATCAAACGGTTCCATAGTGATAACGTTATATGCGTCATCCTAGACTTGTCGAATCTTTTCAATTGACGTAATAACTGTCAAATATTGATGTGAAGTTTATTTTATTGCTTGATATAAAGACGCATGCTCTTGTCGCATACAAAATATATCATAATATAATATGTCTCGTCTACAATTGATACGAAATTGCTCAATCAACCGATGATGTCAACTGTCTCATCCATCGTTAGTTCTCTTTACTACATTCGAAATACCATCATTAGTCAGACATGTTTGTTTAGGTAGATTTCTTTTCTTTTTAAATTACAGAAAACGCCCTCGATCACAAATCTTTGCTTGTTGTCGGAGTATTCGTATTTCTATAAATTTTCGAAATATTTCGCTGTAATTCCAAACGTTCAAGTTTTTCTTTGGCATTGCGTTGACGATACAAATCCATGGCTGTCGGCGGTTGAATATCTAAAAGAAACAGACTGGACAATCGATCCGATATGACTCAAGCGAACAACAACCTTTTTTTCGTTTTTCTCTTTCGAAAAGAACATTATATGTAATTACAATCGACAGCAATACAATCGATGCCATGGCAACGGCGATTCGTTGTGGTGTTTTTTCTGGTTCAACTAGCAATGCACGTTGAATTCTGCGCTGTATATTCGCAGAGATTCGCCTTGCAAACGTAAATACCATGATCTGAAAGAACGAATATGCTCTCATTGTCTTCATCGCTTTTATTCATAGTTTCATAATCACAGAAAATGAAGAACTTTGTTATTATTCTGTATTATTTGTTTTGCTTGTTTCACACACGCATTATGGATTTTGATGTTTTTGATGAACAAAAAAATGCCTTATCTAACGCGTCAAAGAGTAAATCAAATATGAAGAAGGAAACGACTATAAACAAACAAANGTGTTGGATAGAGGACATACAGTAGTAGTTCTATCATGCCTACGACGATTGTCATCAATCAATTTTGATGAACCTCGTCCTGCAAGGTTCATTATTAAATAGATGTATATAAAGGTTCTTTTTCTAACACATAAGCAGCTGATTCGTATCACAACTAAGACAGTCTATTTACGAAACACAAATTAAATCTATCGAGTAGCATGTTCGTTAAATATACATCTATACGCGTACGGTCGGTTTCGTTGACATACTTGCTTTTGGACGGAAGAAAGCAAGGAGATATAGCGTAAAAGAGAATACAAACGCATGTATTTCATGATGTTGTTACCAACATGAAAAAAAACCGAGATTAATAACTATCACAGCGCGAGAATTAGTTGTTTTTTGCTTTCTTCGTTTTTTTCAGCAGGATACATCGCTGATACGAGCAACCATATGCCGAAATCTATCAACATAAAGACTGTATAACAAGGACAATGTATCATTAAATTAAAAGAAAAAAAGAGAAGAAGAAAAACGGCGACGAACGGACAACACGAATATTTTGTTCGATTAGATTGGTGTATGCAGTAGTTGTAGTAGTAACACTACTAATGGTCAGACGAGAGTAAACGATGAACCTCTACTGTGTGTGTGTGCATCGTGTTCTTTTTTCTCTCTCTCTCTCTTCTCTACTCCACCCAATTCTCTTCATCTACATATAAATACACACATATATGTATGTGTGTATATATTGTTCATCGTTTTCGTTCTGTCTGTCTGTCTGAGTAGAGGCGAATAGAGCCGAAATTTGAAACGCTCGATGTGTGTTTCGTTTTTACGAGACTGAAAAGTGAATGGACAGAAGAAAAGAAAAAAAAAGAGAAGATAGACCTAAAGGTCAATAATAACAAAGAAAAAACAAAACAAAAATTTAAATGTACAAATTACAACTCCAACTTCGAAAATCAGTATTTACTTGCCGTCGCTCTTTTTCGTCTATTCTTTTTTATGTTCTCCTCATTGATATTTCAGTTTACTTTTCTTATACGGATGAAGACGAAAAAGAAGAAGAAGAAAAATACATACAGTCTGTGATGTAACGATTTGGTTTTTAGCGATGAAGGAAAAAAAAATAAGAATAATTTCTCCTCACGACTATTACCACCATTCATTCCATGATCAACATCTTTAAGTGTCAAATCCGATACGTGCAATTCAAAAGAAAATCAGTGGCGATACTAGCGCTGGCTTTTTTCTCATTGGTAGAGGTGTCGACCGAATCGAAGATTTCGATCAGCTGTTTATTTGTTTTAATTGAGAAGAGCGATCAACGACGATAACGATGACGGAAGATAAAACTGAAGGTAGAAACTTGATTTTTCCTACTCACTATCCAGACATGTTATTGAGATGCTTTTTTCCGGTCTATGTTTAGCTATTTTATCATATGAACAATTAAAAACCCTGCATGAAAATTATCGACAAGATAAGAATAATCGTCTTGCTCAATCAGCGTGTTGTCAACAATCACTCACTGATGTTATTGTCGATCGGAAAACACGTTTTTCGTCAATGCATATTTTCAATACGAAAGTAAACAATGCTAAATATTAAGCAGAAGAATGTTGAATGAAAAAGATCCGGCCCAGTCTGAGCGAGAGAAGTACTATAGCATGGAAAGTCATTGAGTGTTGATGGAAATAAGAAACTTGCATTTTCGTGTGTTTTCCCCACGCGTTCGTTTATTTCCAAAAAGAAATCCGACGCTGCACATTTGTTTATATTTACAAGTTCCTCTTCAAATGGATATATAAGATTTCTCCAGAGAAAATACAAGCCTTCTTACTCGAACACGCGATACGTAATTTTGTTAGTCTAAAATTTCTTTGGTGGAAAATTATGACATTCCTCTTGAATGAATTTCAATTTGACGATTTCGTTAAGAGTCGAATCAGACGAAATTCTACTTCGATATTGTTTTAGTTATCAATCGAAGGTCGGCCGGTGACAAATCAAAGAGCATCAGGCCGTTGTTGGATGTTCGCTTGTTTGAATGTCATTCGTATCCAGTTAATGAAAACATTGAAAATCTCTGAACTTGAATTAAGTCAGAACTATCTATTTTATTTTGATAAAGTATGTGTGTGTGTGTGTCAATCTCGTTCCGATCATCGATATCAAATTTATTACATAGATTGAACGATGCCATTATTTTCTCATGACAATGATCGACTTGGCTAAAAAGAAAGAGCCAGTTCACGGTCGACTTGTGCAGTATCTTTTGAGAGAATTACTCATTGACGGAGGTAAATCGAATCGCGTTCGTGATGAGCATTTCTCTAGCTTTGTTTGTTTAGGTCAATGGGATATGCTGGTGAATTTGATAAACAAATATGGTGTTGTACCAAAAAGTTCTTTTCCAGAAAGTTCTTCATCAGAAGCAGCAGCTCTTATGAATAAATTTCTTCGAACTAAAGTAATTCTTTCGGCAAGAGCATTTACTTATTCGCTAATTTCTTCCTGCTCTAGTTACGTGCATATGCTCAGGAAATCTTCGAAGCATTTGAAGAAGATGGTGTCAAAGAAAGTGATATAATTGCACGAGAAGCCGAAATGATGAAAGAAGTAAAACATTTTTCATGCAATGTTCGATGACGAGCAAAATTCTGACTTTTGCTTAGGTTCATCGAATTGTTACTGTATGCTTGGGATCACCACCGGAACAATTCACATTTGAATATTATGATTCATCGAAACAATACCAAAAAATCGGTCCTATTAGTCCAGTTGATTTCTATCAACAAATTATCAAGCCGATCTACAATATTGACAATAAAGTAGTTCTTACCGAACGTTCTCTGTAGTCAAGTGCGCTTTTTCTCACGCTAGATCTGTCTTGTTCACGATCCTCGAGTATCCCATGCTTATGGTCGTTTATATACAGTTGAATATCTTGGAAATATTGTCGGCGGTGAAAAAACTCGCTACAATAATCAGCCGCTTCGAGTTCTCAAACAAGCCGTATACGATTCGATTGCTGCCGATGAAGTAAAAGACTTTCTGCATGATAAAGAGCGACAAATCTCATTTTACTTTGTCAATAGGCCGTTTGGTTCGGTGTAGACTTTGGTAAACACATGCATGCCAAATATGGCATACTTGATATGAAGATTTTCGATACTGAACTTTATTTTGACTTGCGGTTTCCTTGTCAAAACAAAGCATCACGATTAGAATATGGAGAATCATTGATGACACATGCCATGGTATTTACGGGTGTGCATGTTGAAAAACGTTCTGCAAATGATCAACAGGATAAAATGAAAACGTCGGATGATGAAAGTACTCAGCCAAATGGTTTGCAATTTATTCGATATCGTGTAGAAAATTCCCATGGCGATGATAAAGCCGATAAAGGTTATCTTGTCATGAGTGATGATTGGTTTAATGAATATTTATACGAAGTGGTTGTCGATAAAAAGTATCTTTCAAAAGATGTGATTGACGTCATGGATCAAGAACCAATTGCTTTAAAAGCCTGGGATCCTATGGGTGCTTTAGCATGCTCTGTAAGTGAAATTCTCACACTGAATTTGGCTCACTTTCTTCGATTTAGCATGACCAAGTAACTGAGCAATAAAATAAATTGATTCCTATCGAAGGGTAAGTACTTCTTATAAGAATGAACAAACTGTATTTGTCTTTGTTCTAGTTAAATCTTCTATTTGATTTCGCAAAATGAATACAAGTCTTACGCTAACTCACATACTACTAGCATGCATCTAGATTTATCTCTTTTTTGTGATTCAACATTTTAATCGAAATAAAAACATGAACTTCAGTTGACTTCTTTTCCCAACTAGGCCACCTCGATTTGCTTTCAAACGAGATTGTATGCTTCTTATCTTGCTTTCCAATCGAGGTGGCCATTATGTATACATGTTATCAATCGATTGACTTTCCTTGTTGTATGGGGTGGTCTGATTCGATGAAGACTATAAATGTTCGAGGATATTCATCTTTTTCTTGTAAAAAAGAAACAATAATAGCAAACCATGCAGATTCTCTTCGGTGTTATTCTTATTGTTCTACTGGAAGGTGTTCTCCAAATGAACGCTTTGGATGATCAACAAACGCAATCGATTATTGAATTGTACAAGAAAATCAGCGAGAAAGACTCTCTCGTTGATGGATTATCGCTGAATGATGATGCTCAATTGAAATTAAAAACAATCAACACCATACGATTAGTACCTCTGACAGCTTTGTCAACAAATCGATCCATTTTACTATTTAACGTCAGTCTAAATAAATTACAAATGAACGAAGAAGTGAAATTAATCGAATTTCGTTTGAAATTAACAATGCGCATGAAACAAAGAAGATTAAGATTAATTATTCGAAATTCGCTGTACCAAAGAAGACGAATTCGTCCTTTGATAATCTCCAGCACAGATAGTGAATATCTCTCCTACGATATTACAGATTATTTGATTCACCATTCTACACAACAGAGTATTATTATTCGACGACAATTCTGGCTGCGAAGACATCTTCAAGAAGCATCACTGGTGATCTATTCTCGTGCACCAAGTGCATTTCTTCTTCCATCGCCGACTCGACGAATGAAACGATCTGTTAAACAACAGCAAATTACTGGTCCTTGTTCAAGACATGATTTATTTGTTGATTTTAATCAATTATCTTTTGGTACGTGGGTTGTCCAACCCAAACGATTCAATGCCGGTGTTTGCCGTGGTGATTGTCCGAATCCGTTATCACGATCGTATTATCC